ACTTGCTTTGCTTCATGTAGCAGCTTGGCTACTGGCGAACAAACTGCAAAGATGTAATTCCAGCTCAGCAGCTAAGCAGGCCCGTTTTCAGAAGTGAGTTAGGCATGCTATCATATTCACTATGCTGTTCAGTTACATCACAGCCCCGGCTAAAAGGCAAGCACGTCCCCAGTGTAGGGGACTCTCTGGTGCATCCCTTCTGTCTCAAAGAGCTAAAAGCCCTTATATTATTCAAATGCCTTTGGGGGAAAAAACTAAATATTTCAAATAAGTTTTTTTCCTAGAAGTAATAAATGATATTTTACTCAGATACTTTCTGCATTTGCTATATTAGTAGATACAATTGACTGTGTCATCTCAGTCAAGCAATAATAACAAAACCTTAAGATCAGTTAATTTATTATATACTTAATATATGTCAATCACTGTACTAAGGCCTTTGCAGATACGGATCCATTTAATTTTCACAGCAGAACTTTGATTTGATTTGAACTAGTTTGATTCCAAAAGCATATATATTTTTAATTCCTCTCTAAAACCAAATCTTCCCTGCTCCAAAACCTATGTCAACAATTCACGAATGTCCCTCGTCCCCAGTCTTCACCCCAGCAAGATACACACACACACACACACACACGGATAACAGGCTGTCTGTACAGCCATATGAGTTCGATAAATGCATCCCGACTAATATGTTCGTTTTTAATGCTGTTCAAACATTCACATGGAAACAGCTCTAGCGTAAATATCCCCGAACAAATGGCTGTATATTATCCAGGAGGGAGCAGTTGGGCCGCCAGACTGGGGAAGTACTAGGCCATCTGGCTCCGGCAATCTCTCCAAAACCATCAGCTTTGTTTTCACCCCCAGACTCCAAACAACACATTTTCCACTGTGATGAGTTTACATTTTCCCAAACACAGGTCCTGATCATGCATAAAAATTCCAAACTTCTTCATTCCTCTATGTGCAAGGAAATTTAAATCACCTGCATTTTTGACATGTTACCAAAGGAGACTGAAAGCTGTTGAAATATAGCCCCTGACATAAGCCTACTCTGTCCTTTCTTGTTTGTTTCCCTGGATATATGAAAGAGCTTCTTTGCTAGCCTAGTAAATTCCTTGGGAACTTATAGATATGCCCCTCCCCCCAAAAAAGTGTTTATCTACCAATGAACTGAAAGAGTTGTTAATCAAATCTATGTAGCCGAAGTAGAACATAATGAAACAATCAATGAGAGGAAACTAAAGTAGAATCAACAACTTTAAGTGCTGGGAACATCCAAACAAATATATAAGGAAATCTAGCTCGGGAAACAAATCTGGCAACCTTTGCATTTACTGGACTATGCCTGCACTCCAATGCATCAGCGCCTTTTGTAGTGGGCTGCCCACATAACCCACCTTTAAACACATACATGCAAAGATTATGTAAACTTCTGTTGGCCTTCCTCAAAAGTAAATAAATAAAATAAATTTAAAAAAACTTTTGTTTGGGGTCAGGGAACATGAGATTGAGTCTCCTTTAAGTATTTCTTGAAAAACTTACTCTTTGAGTAAGCTGAGGGAAGAAATGAGCTGGTTTTGTGTTTATTAACTACTTAAAGATAAATACATCCCTGGAGGAACCATGGAACACAACCGTATCTCAAATGACACAGGAAAATCTGAAGTGAGGCAACTTAAGCCTCGGGCCTCCCCAACTGGGTACATGAGAATTTCTACAGTTGACACTGCTTCTGGATGCATCAGCCATAAACTCCTGGATCCTGAGGGCTTTCGCATGCTCACTAATAGAATACCAAAAACAGCAACGACACAAAAACAATCTATTTTTAGGCCAGCTAAACTTGGTTTTGAACAACCCTTCCCAAAAGCAAGACATTTCTTTTCTAATTGAACAAGTTTGGTTTTTTGTTCGTTTGGGTTTGTTTTGTTTTTGGTTTTGTTGTTTTCAAATGTTATACCCTATGTTTTACAATGGAAGCATAAGGAGATGGGACCCCAGAGCTTTACACATTCACTCCTAATGAGGCTCCATCCTTCCTGGTAGAGTCCAAAATCAGGAATCATTCCTCCAAATAGTCTAATGAGACACTTTAGGAAGGTGTGAAACACTGTGTCATACTCATACACCTTGGTCGGTTGAGTTCATTTCTGCCTCATCTCAGTGCTACCGTATCCACTCAAAATGAGGAACAACCTGTGCAGCCTCTGCATGTTACTGACTGAAGATTCCATCCAAATGTTACCCCCAATTTGCGAGTCAGGATATGACATCACATACACAAAGGCACATCTCTACAGGGGTAGAGTCGCTGATCAATGAAGAGAAGGTTGCTCAGTGGCCAGGTTTTCCCTCCAGAAGCTCTAGTGTTCTTAGAATCACATTGCCAATTGTATTCTGTCCCACACTCTAAATATCAAAATCTGGAATGCATCAGAAAGTATTTCACAGAGGGGCAATGTTACCACTTAATCACTCAGCCTCTGCCAATCCTTACTTTTAGTTAAAGAGGCCGGGGTATATTTCCATATCACCAACGCTTTTAGAAAGTTTCTATCAGACTAAGCATTTAATTAGCATAGCATATTTTTGAACTACAGGAAGGTCCACTGTTTTACTACTGAAGCTGAATATGAACGTGATCTGCAGCTAAGAAAGTATGGCTTCTGGTATTTCTATCTGCTTTTTTTGGAGCGTATGGTGTTAACTGAGTACATAAGAAGGTAACCTACTTCCAAAACTCTGGCAGCATGTAATCAAAGAACAAGCAACTGGATAATGAGCACGGATTGCCTTTCAAAGTGAAAGTTATAGAAAGGGTCGCCACTCAATCATGAAAGCAAATGGGCTCATCTTAAAATGTCTTTTGTCTTGATACTTTTGTACCAACTTAGATAACTATTAAACCTTTTTTCCAGGTTGATCTTGACTAGAATATATAACTACATATATTTATAATTTAAGCTTTTAGTAATATATGACAAATGACTTTTTTATACCTGCTATTTTTTTAAATGCTATCAAATGGTCAAAGATACCTTCACCTGTAGATTTCTAAAAGCTCTATGGCCTTCTTACTAAAATATCTGATGTAATGCTTTACATTTTTAAAGATCCTCCCACTGTTGTAATATGAGAGAATATGCTGATAAAACAAATTCTTCATAGCACTGTTTGTTTAGGGAGATCAGAATTGAAGTTTTGGGGAGGTTTAAATCAGATAGAAACAACCTCTTCTAATTATACTAATTCTATGCTCCTTAGAATAGTGCTTGCCATAATGTGGCCTAGTTTCAGTGGTCAATGTTCCACGAACATATCGGCCTTATACAGCTGTTTGTGTGGATGCTTTTATCTTAAAAAAGTGGAGTATAGGGTACAATTCATTCTTTTCCCTCGGCCCCCAAGTTTCCACTCCTTTCTGATGAGAAGGGCAAGACAGGATATCAAAAACAATTTTTGAAAAGCAAAATTCCACCTAGTATATTTTTGTTTTGACATCCAATTAAAAGTTACTAAAATCAAGTATTTTGTGTTTCTGCTCAGCAGGGAAAATATTAAAAATTCAGAGTCCAAAGAAAAGATAATTATCCTATATAGACATCAAATGCATTCAAGAAAATAGCTATGATTAAAACAACAAATGGAAATTTACTCTGAGCTGTCAACTAAGAAATGAATACAATCTTGCAGAGAGGAAAATATTTAAGGAAAATAACATGACATCAATTTTTTCAGATGCTTAGTACTTTAAAAAATATACTTCTTGCCCACAATTTCATATATTTTACTTGAGTCACAATAAATATGTTCATAATAACTAACATGAGCTGTTATTAAATGCTTTCTGCTAAGATTGCAAACTCCCAACAGCTTATTAATATGTATTTTGCATATTATAGCCAGGCAGATCTAAAGCTATTTTTAATTATGTATACACACCTTAATTTCAAACTTTCTAAACCAATGAAGGAAATGGACCCCTCCTTGTTTTAAAGGGAATATTTTAAAATGACAATAGAATAAACACACTTTAACCCTATTACTAAACTGCTATTTGCTGTACAACAGATAACTTTTCTTTTGGTTCTGAATTCTTTCCTCCTCTAAATAAAGCTGTCTTTTTTTTTCTGTTACTTCAACTAACTAACCAGCTACTTCATTCTGAAACTATACTTTTTCTTAAAATTAAGAAGGGGGAAAGAAAAAAAAATCCTGCGCCTCATTAAAATGTCAAGCCTTGCTTCTACCTTGGCTCATAATTGTATCTTTTAAAACATAACTCAACCTTAATGTATACTGCCTGACACGGAGTGTTGGCAAGCTTAAGAAAATGCTGTCCAGTTACCTTTAAGAAAGAAAGCTAGCTAGCTGGCTTTTGTTGCCTGGCTCCCAGCCAAACTTGGAGGCCAAAGCAGGAGGGTTTTTGCAAAATACCCTCCAACAATTGTATGCTCCCACTTTCAACACTACTTTCCAATACCACCGCTTAAAAAAATAATAAAAATCTGTGGAGAAGTCATTTGCAAACTTCGTCCATCTCTGCAGGCCTAGAGAAGCCAGAATTGGTCTCCCTAACCCCGCCCCTCCAAGTTCCTCAGGCCTGGGCCTTGGTTAAAACCTGGCTAGTTTGGGTAGCAGAAGTTCAGTCCATACTGCCTCCCGCGGGTGGGGGTTCCCTAGGCTCCTTTAGCATCCCCTAGGGCTCCTTGGCCAAGTCAGAGGAAGTCCAGTCCTTACTCCTTCCATTCAGCATCCCAGGTCTTAATCACCAGGCCTGACTTTCCCAGGGAGGGAAGTGAGCCTCCAGCGATCACCGGCAGAGGTGCGGCAACAGAAATGGTCCTGTGCTGGCACCACTTTGCCAGGGCTACCTGACTTTGCAGAGTTTGGGTCCCAGTCATCTCTCAGCGGTGGCACAAGCAGCTTTTGAGCCGCAGCAAATTTTGTGACCCAAGAGTTGTTGCCACAGTGTGGAATTCTAAGAAACTTACTTGTTTAGTCATGGAGTCGATGAGGCGCACATAGAAATCCTGTTCAGTCCTTATCCCTGGGGGTGGAGGGAGGAAAGAAAATTAAGAGAGGGGATAAACCCTGAAGGGAAAAAGAACTCCACAATACAAATAACAAGAGCAACAAACAAAAACTGAACACAAAAGGGGCCAAGGCCAAGGGGACCTCCTGCTGTCCTGAAAAGGGAGTTTCTCCCCAGAATCCAGAAAGGATCTGCGGGCCTAGTTCAAATGCCCCCTCCCCACGGAAGTCAGACTCCACCAAGCACTGGAGCTAGAAATGAGGTGGGAAACCCCCAACCTGGCCGCTCTCCCTGCCCAGGCTAGAGCTCCTTCTGCAGTCACCTGGATCTATCAGGACCACCACCCTTCCTGGCTCCTCAGAACCGAGGAGCCCTGCGACAGGCTTCACAAAGGGGAGAAAAAAGCGAACCGAGTGGTCTAGTTAGGACCAAGTGGCCTCCAGTCAGCCCTGGGCTGACCAAGCCGCCCTCCGCCTCCTCAGGTGAGAAACTTCCTAGGATGAAATTTCGGAGAGGCCTGTTCACCTGGAGGGTGGCTGACGACTGAGCTTCGCTGGGGGGCTTTCGTCCACCTGGAGCTCCGTGAGCCCCCTGCCCTGACCCGGAGCCCCAGGGTGCTGGCACCGACCCGACAGGAGCCTCACCATTGCTGTAGAGGAGCTGGAGCCGGTAGTGGATCCCATTATTGGTCTTTTCGCTGTTGGCTTCCTGGTTTGCAGCAAGGCCCAAAGACACAAGAGAGGAGAGAGGTCTCCGTGAGCGAGTGCACCGACTTCAAGGCAACTTTTCCCATAACGGGACCCCTCCTCCCAGCCTGTGAAGCCAGCCAGCCCCACAGCAACAGATAATTGTGGCAAACAGTTAATCCCTGCTCCACCCTCATCCCAAACTGCTATCTCTTTCTTCCATTCCAGAAAATTCTGTGAGGTACACATGGGTGAGACTCTGCTTAGAACATGGGGACTGCACCCGGGGCCATCTGAGGCTAGTAATGCATGGTCTGATAGTTCAGAGCTAGCACATGCCAGGCTCCCAAAGCTAGACTGAAGTCGGGTTCGTTTTGCCTGGATTCTCTCCAGTTTGGGGGGCTCCATGCTAACTTTCTGGAGCAGGACCTTGTGTCCCAGGAGCCTGGATTCGTTCAGGACGGGAAGTGACAGGGTGGGAGTTGGGGGGGGGACACACGCTCACAAGAGTGTGTGAGGATGGCTTTGCATGCACCGAGGCGGCTTCTAAGGCGCCTGGGCCTGCTCCCTGAGCCTGGGACTCCTGGGGACTGCCCTGTGCCCACTTACTTTTTCCTTCTCCACGAACCCCACAAAGGCAGTCCTCTCAATCTCCACGGGCTGGCCCTGTCTGTCGTAGAGGGCCAGGACGAAGTGGAAGAAGTTGGATTTCCGCAGATTAGAAGGCGGCTGCTTCTCAAAGTGAGCCCGGGCCAGACCCACCCCGCTGTGACCAAAGACGCAGAGTTAGATCGCTAAGCTAAGCCAAACCGTGTCCCGCACTCCCATTGTCACCCAGGACGCGCGAGCGAACCCCCCCAAAACGCCCACCTCCTCTGCTCCCAAAACATCCCCTGGGCGCCTTCCATAGCCCATCAGCAGCACCAGCGCGGCAGAAGAACCGCACACAAGCCACTCATGTTCCTCTGCTCCCTGTTCAGAGACAGCGGGTCCTCAGAACTCAGAGGTGTGAAAGTTTTGTTTGGGTTTTGGACGCGAGATGAAGCGCTACAATCTTTACTCCGCTTGAAGCGCTCTGCGTGCAGAGGAAACGTGACCATGGGTGAGGCGAAAGGAGGTTCGAGAGAAAGTGCGCAGTTTACAACTTCGAAGGATAAGGCGTGGGAATGGGCTCCAACTGCGCCTCCAAATCTCGCAAGTAAGCGGGCAGGTGGAAACGAATGCAGGCTTGCTGGGCTGCCCGCTGCAGCAGCCACCCTCCAGGAAACCTCCCCAACCTCGGCCAGCTGCCGGTGCCTGGCCTCAGCACGCTAATTTTCTACACAAACACAAGCAAGTGGAGAAGGGTCCCAGACTGGGACTCGCGGCTATTAGAAATGATCGATCGCCATGGGAAAGGGAACTGGGATGTTTTGTTTTACTGTTGTGTGTGGTTGTTGATGTTGTTTGGTTTTTGTTTTTTTAATAAAAGACCTGTCTTGACAAAGTTTTGGCATCCTGAGAAATCATCCGCACACATTCCAAAAACCAAAAGGCTGCTGGCTGAGCAGTTCGGCCAGGGTCTAGAGACTGGGGTGCCCGGGGCACCGCACTGACAGCCCAAACTGCCTGACAAAACTGGGCAACGTACATACACACACACACACACACACACACACATACACACACACACACACACACTTTCGCTTCCAGCTTAGTTACCCAGTTCACTCTCACTACCAACCACTCCCAACCCTGTGCTCAGCGGGGATGGAAATGGTACAGGGACAGTTGCCCCTCGTTGCCCCCAAAACTGGAATGATGTAATTACTCTTCCTTCTCCTTCTATACCCTAGAAGTCTAATGGGGCCTAGGGCCACCAAGTTTTCCATTGCCATAAGCCCAGTTGGTGGCCAGCAATGAAAAGGATAGGGTACCATTTCTCACTTGGGACCAAGAGCCTCTGGACGGGGCTCTGGTTGTGCTCAGGGAAGTGCCTGAAGTTGGCCTCCAAGGACATGGCCTCCAAGCCACCCAGTGTAGACTCTGGAGAATGAGAGAGCAACTGCAGGAGGCCAAGGTGACAGGGGCCGGAGAAGGCTTTTGAGAAATGTGAGATTAAAGTTGGGAACTGCTGTTCTGCAGGCGGAGTAAGAAAAACTGAAGGCTGGTGGGGGTGGGGGGTAGAGAACCAGATAGAAGAGTACAGGGAGAGGAACGGGGAGAGAGAACCGCAGAGACCGGAGAGACCGTGAGGTGAGAAAAGAAAGAAGAGCAGAGCTAAGAAAGAAGAAAAGAAAAAAGAGTGGGGATGCAAGGGTGTAAGAAGGAAGGAGGACAAGAGAAAAGAAATGAAGGAAGGTAGAGAAAGATAGGAAAGGCAGGGGAAGAGGAAGGAAACATGAAACACAAGGAAGAGGAAGGCAGAGGGAGAAAGGAGAAAAGTAAGAGAGAAGGAAAGGGGGAAAGACAAAAAAGAGAGAAAGGAAAGAGAAATAAGGGGGAAAGGAAGCGAAGGGAAGGAGGAAAAGGAAAAAAATAACCACCCAGAAAAGAAAACAAGCGGTCAGAAAAGCGTAGCTATCCAACACGGTGCTGGTGAGACGCCTCTTCTGGGTTAAAACAAAATGAAAACAGCCGCAGATGAGGCTGCGGAAAGTGCCGGCAAAGCTTGGGCTCGGCTCCCTCCAGCAGCTCCGCAGCTCGCAGTTCTCTGGCCGCAGGCGCCTAGTGCAGCGCAGCCGGGGAGCGCGGAGCCCGGGCGGGCGGCGAGCGCAGCGCAGCGGCAGACGCACTCGCGTGGCCGGGCCCCGGGTAGCCGCGCCGCCGCCTCCGGGCTCTCCCGCTAGCCCGCGGCCTCTCCGCCACGGTCCCCCAGCGGTACCCACCTCTGCGCCGCTGTGTTGGCGTCCAGCACCCCGGCGCCCTGCATCCACGTCCGCACCGCGTTCATGCCGCTGCCCAGCGGCTCCTCCTTCATACTGCTTCCACTCCGTTGGATGCTTTCCTGGATCCCAAACATGAAAACAACCTTTTCTTGTGGAAAATCTCCTCCCCTTTGAAAATATTGAAAAAAAAAAAGAAGAAAAACGCCAACCACAGATTTTTTTTTTGAATCGATGAAACTCGCGCTACATCAAGGCGGCGGACTGAAAAGCAAAATTTTTAAAAATGTAAACCTTCGCTCAAAACTGAGCGGTAACAAGGGGGAGGGGTGAGGGAAAAAAAGAAAGGGAAAATCCAACGAAAAGACCAAAATTAAGAAAAAATAGAGATGTATGCTTTGCTGTTGGGGGTTGTTTGGTTGGTTGATTTTGAGTTTGGGTGCTTTTTTTTCCTTTTTTTTTTTTTTTTGCTTTTTTTTTTTTTTGTAGTAATCACAGGCCGTTGGAGGGGCTGGAGTTTCCTTTTGTAGAGGTACCTTCACTTGAAGAAGCAGGAAGAAAAAAAATCACCCTGATGACAATTTAAGAAACAATAGATACGACTCTCGAAGCCGGCTTGGCTCCTTGAAGTGTCATTTTCCACAATCAGGCAAGTTTTTTTTTTCCTCTCTCTCTTTTTTCCTCCTCTCTCAACCAAAGATGTTTCTTTCCTTTCCGTGCGTGTAGATGAGGACGCTGGTTGCTGTAGACAGACACACCGGAGAGGGTGGGGGGAAGGGGAGAGAGAGGAAAAGAGGAAAGGGGGGGAGGGAAAGAGATAGAAAGAGAGAGGAGAGGGAGAAAGAGAGGGGTGGACCCTGCTGGATGGAGATTCTGTTTTCTCCTTGCTAAAATAGAAGTGATTTGCAGGCTCTCCCTGTGGAATCCAGTTTGACTCTCCCCAGAGCTAAACACAGGCACACTAACCCCAAAGGGAAAGAGGCGGGGCCCTCACAGCCTGGCCACGCCCCTTCTTTGCATAACGTCATCCTTCCGCCTTACCGCAGCCAATCGCAGCTCCCGAGCTGGCTTGTTCACAGAGCCAGGCCACACTCCCTCATTAACATCCTTCTCCGGGTGGCGCAGGGGAGTCGCCAAAGTTCCCGGCAAAGTGGGGAGCTAGGGAGCTCTGAGCACCCGCTTCTTGGCTGGGAAGGAGCGGGGCCGTGAGGAGCGAGAAAGGGGGCAGAGGGAAGGAGATGGAAATATCCTTCTCAGAGATCTGGGCTGAGAGGGTCTGCAACCATGGCAGTCTGCGCCTTCCTGGGCAGACATCTGGTTTCTTGCTCCGCTGTCCTGGGACTTCGGGGGCAAAGTGGAGGAAAAAGGATTGACAAGGCAGAAAAGACAGGATGAGCATCCCAGGTGCCCAGCTCTTCACTCTGAAGCAATGGCGGCATGGAATCTGTGTGCGCGAGATTGAGTCTTGAGGGCCTGCGGAGGACACTGTCTCCGTGTCAGGAGCGGTAGAAGAGACCAAAGTCCCAACAAGTGAGGCTTTAGTAGATCTCCAAGGAGTGGGGGGATCCAAACTCTGTCCTCAGTCTGCCTCTGAAATGACTCTGATTCTGGTGCTAACCCTGATGCGGTTGCTGCTGGGCACTGTTCTTACTAGATCAGTTCTCTCCAGCAGCCCCCGCCCCCCCCAGATGTGCGAATGGTAGAATGAATGGGTAGCTGGGGCTGTGCCAGGGTGTGACTCTAAACATCCTCAGATCCAATCCCCAACTCCCTCTCCTGCTCCGCGAAGTATTTTCTTTTTCTTCATCAAAGCAGCAAGGATGTTTGTTGCCGTCTCTGATTAGTTGGTGACTGGGCACATAGGGTTTTTTTCTGTTAAAAGGGTAGGCAGCTTGAGCCAACTTCAGTCACAGCCACAAGGAGAGGGACTGGGAAATAGAGAAGAGAGGTGAGGAGGGGCAGGAGAAGGAGGAAACGAAATCAGTGGAAGAATACAGGGGAGGAAAAGAAGGAAAGAAAGAGGGAGGAGAGGGAGGGAGGAAGGTCAACTTGCCTTCTACCTCAGGCCCTTTGGCCTTTGTGTTGTGGCTGAGAAGGAAACAGCTAGACAGTTGTGGGTAATGTGCCTGCCCCATTATTTTTTTTTCCTCAAGGTTGCAACGTCGAATAAGCTTATGGTAAAGTGTTACATTATCCTCAGAGGACACCCCTGGGTGCACCCGAATCTGCTAAGGACTCCACGGGGAAATTCATTGCCTGAAATCCAGGTTCTCTTTCTGCTGGCCTTCCTTGGACATTAGAAAACGCACTGGCGTCAGTGATGGAAAAGCACACATCTCTCTGTTGAATGACAGAATTAAGACAGGCAAGGGTCATGCTTTGTGGGTCTGGCAGAGGAGGAAAGAGGAACCCTTTCGTGATGAAAGAGTGAGTTTATTCCAAGCCTACAGGTACACTCATGGTCATTGCCCTCAGACCCAACTTCTATCTCTCAGAGTATATATCAGGACCACACATGTGCTAGGATGTTTCTTTCTGGCACTATAATTAATGCATCTCCCCCAAGAGATTCCTGCAGAGATCATCTGACCCCTCAGCGTCCCCATGGCATCTGTCAGAGTTTCTGTAACACAATTGGTGCTGTGTGTGTGTGCATGTGTGTGTAAAAAGATGGGAAGAGTTACACACCCAGTAGACACCCAGTCCTTTTCCACCTCTATAGAATTTAATTGCACAATTGAAACTGGGCCTATTAAACTTTTTCCAAAGCTGCAAGCCACGGATGCTGTTAGCTTACTGAGTCCACAGAAGCACTCCCTTCCCTTAGTTGAAAGGAGGGGTGTTATTTCAAGGTAGGGGCATCAGAAAGCAGGGGACATTCTCCAACAATGGGTCCCAGGAAGCCCTAGCTTAAGACTCTACCTTCCTCTCTTTAACTACTCAAGTTTCCACTTTTCTCTGTAGTAATCAGACCAAAGCATTTAGAGTTTTATGTTATATGTAGTAGAGTATATGTCCCAGTGATGGGCAACACATGATCAGGAAAAAAATCATTGCCTGTAAAAGGAGAAATGCAGTCATGCTGAGGTCTGTCATTAGCAGGATTCACAGAGAACGTAGACTTCTGGAGGTCATCTACAAAGGACCCTGGTATCAGTAAGCACATGAAACCCACTATCCCCAAAGTGAAACTGGCACAGAGAATGGCATCTTCAGCAGTTCAGTTATTCCGGAGCCAACTACAAAGGAAGCGATTTTTACAAGCCAGAGAAGAATGCAAAGAGAGGGAGGCAGGAATCTTTGCATAATACTAATTGCCTTTAGCTGGGACAGGCAGCAGGCACCACACCTAGGATGATAGGCATACTTTATTTTCATTAAGCAGAGTGCATTTGTAGGTGTTTATCTGGGTGTTTGCACTTTTAACATGGCTTTTGCACTCAGCAATAAATGTTTAAGAAGTAGGAGGCTAGAGAGAAAGTGGAAAAGAGAGGGTGACAGAAAACTGAGGACACCCAGGACCACAGAGTGGTGTGTGTGTGTGTGTGTGTGTGTGAGAGAGAGAGAGAGAGAGAGAGAGAGAGAGAGAGAGAGAGAGAGAGAGAGAGAGAGGGAGGGAGGGAGGGAGGAGAGGCATACTTGAACATTCAGATCAATAGGCCTCAGTCATAGCTGTAGATTCAGAGCCTCTGGCATTGGTGCCTAGGAATCTATGTTTAAAGACAGCAATTCTTCACTGCTTTCTGTCATCTCCGAGAGAGAACCAAAGGAGAGGGGGAAGTGGTGCCAGGGGAGAGACTGTGGATGAGGAGTCACTGCAGAGTGTTTCTTCTGGAACAGCGTTTCCCGTTGAATTTCTGGCAGTTTTTTTTTCAGTCTTCTTTAGAATGGTCAGGGTCATGGACAGGCCTTCAGAGAGGGTCTACACTGCCAGGCAAGGCTGCCCAGCTTTTGGGGTCCTCCTCTGGTGCTGGAGGAAGTTGAGGCCAGGTCACAAGAAGTCCCTCCCTCCCCCTGCACCCTTCAAGCAAGATGTCTCACGCCCTGTCAGCCCCAAACTTCTGGAAACTCAGACTCTCTCCCTCTTGGGGCACATCAAATGACGCAATAACTTCTAGGGGCTCGCGTAGAAATGTACTCCCCTGCTTGCCCTTCAGTAAAAAAGAAAGACACCTTGAATTCAGTGCAACTGGGGCCACAGGGAATGTCCCAGGAAAAGAGGGGATGGCTTTTGCTCGTCTGCCCCCAGGAGGCCAGACTTGGGACTTGTCCTGAAAGGTTCTACAGTCCTCTTCTTAAGGGCACCCCGCCCCCCAGGGCCAACAATCCAGGGGAAATAGCCCCTCACCTCTCTTAGCTTCCTTGCCAGGGGCAGCTTCGACTTCCAGTAGGAGGACAGGTGCTTCTTTCAGTGCTGGAAGGAACGGGAAGTGGGGGAACAGGCGACCAAGCAGCGAGGCTCAAAGGCCCTCTGCCTGCTGCATGTTCCTGGGGAGCTGCGGGACCACTCTGCTTCTGAGAGGTGTGGTAGGGCCAGGCAGAGACCTGAGCGTTCGTTCTTTATGGGGGCCGGGGGCGGGGAGAGGAGGGTGTCACCAGGCAGAGTTAGTAGAAACGTAGAGCCCGGAGAAAGCAAAGACCTACACAGGGCATCCAGGCAAGGGCGGATCCAGGTCCAGGAGGCCGAGCACGGGGACCCACACACCTCCTAAACCCTGGCGAGTCCCTGGGTGGCATTTATCCACCGCTACGGGGAGCGTGAGAGCCGCAGGCCAGAGCGCCACCGGAAATCCGGACTCTGAGCCGGGCTTGCGACCTCGCAGCGCTCCGGAAAAGTCCCCCCTTGCTCATCCAGTCCCTGTCCCTGGGATCACCCCCTTTCCTCTTGGTACCAACTAGGAATCTGAGGGAAAGAATTATAGCCACTCACAGGACGCAGACGCCGAGTAAATAATCCCCTAGGCTCTAATAAAACCAGGAGCGGTGAGGTTTCTTGAAACTGCCCCTCCTCTGACCAGTCTGCCCCTCTGGGTTTCCCCCTGAATTGTCCCAAACAATAAATACATCCCAGTTTTTGCTGGGTTTACCGGGCATGAGATAACCCAATTTCCACCGCAGGCCACTCCCATTGTACAGGTGAGGAAACTGAGGATTTGTGAGGGAAGCTAAGGGAAAAAAAAAAAACTTTGTGTCATCCCCTCCCTCCCGTCCCGGGTCACACCGCTAATAAAGTTGCTAGGTCACTGTCTCCTGGCCTGGTACTCGTGATATTAACCTTGGAGCTAAACCTCCACCAGGCAGAAGCACAGACCATCTACCCACACTCGCTAGTGCTAGCGCTTTAGGTCTCGGTTGCATACAGCAGGGTGGAAAAAAAGAGAGAGGGGATACAAGAAGAGAGGGTTTTCGGTAAAATCCTAACGAATATGAATATTTGAAAGCACGTTTGGGCTATAATGTGTGCGGGTGCTTCTGTCCCGACCCAGTCAAAGCTCCCCCGGGAAGACCAACTCCAGCCCTCGCTGCTCCACATGGTCCCAGCCTGTTGAAGCTCAGGCAAGCTTGCCTAATGAAAACAGCTTAAGTACAGGACTTCACTGCGATGTCCGATGTCCACGATGCCCATTACAGGACAGAAGTCTGGACACATGCCTAAGCTTTCATCGGGGGAAAAGATGATTCTGTCTTGGCCTGAGCACAGATACCTAAAACCCCAGGTCATTCTGAATTGAGGGAAAAGAGCCGGTGAAGTTCCAGAAAAAGATCTCTAGTCTGCTGCTGCCTTTGAAACCAGTACCCCACCTTGTGAATTTCTCCTATCTGCCAGAGAGACTGGACCGGGGTCCCTCCACACACTGGGGTCCAAGAGTGTTAGAAGGGAGCTCTCCAACAGTTTATAAATTAGCATTGCTTAACTTTTAAAACTCAAACTGAGGTGGAACTTTAAAGGA